TTTTCATGGTTTTTCTGTGACATACATTTAAAAGTACTTTGCAGAAGAACATTTTTAAAAGTATTACAAAAGAATTCACTTCTTCAAAGCGTTAATAGGTAGAGTACTTTAAAACCGCTCCCGAAAATACGTGCGCTAAATAGGAACCGGTCCTTTGAGATACACTTTATTTTTTACAGTGTAGAGAAATATTTGCTCTATAACCGTAAATAGTCTAGACTTTTCTATCATCTCAAAGAAAAGTCTGACATCGCAAAAATACACATTTCTCCATTCAGATAAAGTTTTTGAGTCTGTTCGTATTGTATCATTTGTGAACAACAGAAAACTTTTTTCAGTTTTAAACTTTAAACTTTTGAACGCAATTTAAAAGTGAACAAAAAAGTGCTAAAAATAGCTAGTAAAAATAGTAAAATATTCTAATCGAGACATAGAGTGTGACCCTCGAGCAAGGGGGAAAAAGCAATTTCGGTTCGTATGGTATGTTATTTTGCTATGCGAGGTATTTTGTAACGGGTATTTTGGGTACGTTGAGTACTATCTATAAAGAAAAACAGTACCATCGGTTGTTTTTAAAATAACTTTTGATAGAAAGAGCAAGAGAGCTCCTGTTTTCGGCGTTCGAAAGAGGAGATATGGAGTTACGGGCGTAGATACGTAGATACTACGTAATCCATACTCACCAAATTTTTTCTAGCAGAATTTCCTGAAATAGGTTTTTTATGAAATTATTGGAAAACTAGGCCGTGTGTAAAAATCTCCCAACAGGGTTGTATTGATTTTTTTTCCATGAACTGATAGCCCGGGGTATCTTCTTCAAAATGAGACTCAAGTGAAACCTAGATTTTACGCGGTCCGGGCGTTGTATTGGATTTTCTACAAGTCTCTGGACTGGCACCCGACTTTTAGCAGCCTTGAAGACTATGCGGCTTGTCCAGACGTCACGTTTTTAACACACTCAATTTCGGTTACCTCGGAAACTAAAGTAGCTAGAAAGTTCGTTCGAACGTCAATCGACGCAGTTCATCATGCTCTACTTATGCTGTGAAAACGAAGCTTTTTGAATGTTGCATTGGGCTTTGAGAAGAATTTTAGTGTTGCGTCACGACGTTACGACAAAAGACTGTTTTTTAAGAGTGCTGCTACGAAAATCCTGATTTGCTGCGAAAGGTGTTCTCCAAACGGAACATTCCTTGTGCCGATCCTACAGAGAAGCTCACAGGCTTTCTAATAGTAAAAAAATGTTTCACCTAGGTTATTAGATTTGCCTGATAAACACAAAATATAAGCGTCACAGCGTTACGTTTTTCGTCACGGCGTTACATGCTTTTTTGTGAAGCATATTTGAGGCACTTAACACGATGGTAAACTTTTGATTTTCACAACTTCCTGTGTTCTTTGTATACTTGATCGATCTGCGAATACGCCATTTTGTAGAGAATTGAATTCTCTACAAAAGCATATTTTTAGAAATTTGTTTTAAAAAATGTTTTTGGTTAAAACAATAAGAATCCGGTTCCGAAAAGTTCAATACCAGGTTTTAGGATGAAAAATGAACTCTTTTGAAAAGGGAGTTTCAAATGGGTTCTTAGAATAAAAAACTGAATCTAATCCTATGTTCAAAATTTTCGATATGGAAAAAAAGTTTTTCAAAAACTTGATCAGCTAAGTGTACCGTTACGTGAACCAGCCGTATGGATAATTGGCCGCGCTGAATCTTGTGATAATTTTTGCTTTTAGAAAAGGTTTAATAATACCGAAAGCGAGTTTTACGAAAATTAGAGTTTTTAGGCTATTTTCACCTAATATTAAAAAGTTTATTAGTCACTCAAAAAATATCAGAACGAGTTCAAAACTTCAAAATGTACTGTTATACGCTGCTTCGGACGAACCAATCATTTGTCGAATTACCCTATTTTGATGCTGACACTTCGGAGTTAACAACAACAACGAATGGTTTACTATTGTATCGTAGGCTGCATCGATCCACAGCAGTGCCATCGTCCTTGATAGTACAAGTTTCTGAGTAGAACGAACCGATGGACAAACGAGAGTAGAATCGCGAGCTTGCCCGTTAATGCTGAGCTCTGTATTCTTCAGAGCATTTTAATGTTTCGTATCTGTTTTGAAGGTCTAGTGGAATTTTTGACAATGTTGTTTTTGGTACTTTTCGCTTTCTTTAATAGTTCGCTCGTTTTCTGAATCTTAGCGTTGCCATCTACATTAGTCTGCTGACCATCGTTTACTAAATTTGTGCGTCCTTTATCATATTTCAGTGTCTTGTCTCGATTGTCAGTGAGTATACAGCTCTCAATGTAGTAGACATGACTGTCAGCTTTTTGTGGTACAACTCTTTTTTGCTCCGAAGTCGTATGAATTATTGGTTGCCTGGCGACAGGTCGACGACGACTAGTTAAGTCTTTGTTTGATGAGTTCTGTTTTAGCAGCTGATAGCAATCCATTTGATTCTGTTGTTTAGCAAGGTCAATAGCACGATATCCTTTATAGTCGGTTATGTCCATTTTTGCACCTGCGTGCAATAATATACGAATAGTTTCAATAAGACCATGTCGAGCAGCCAGCATGAGGGGTGTTCGTCGATGTGAATTGCCCGCATCAACGTCACAGCCCTGTTCTAATAAAGATTTAACGATTGCTAGTTGATTATCATTTTGACGGTAGAAACAAAACCAATGTAACAGTGAATTATCATCAACGGTCAGCACATTTTTGACTTTCGCGCCGCAGTTTACCAGTAGATCGAACATAGCGGAATTACCTTGAGCTACGGCAATATGAATGGGTCGAATTTTTGTCCGTTCCCGAGCAAAATTCACATTGGCGCCGTTTTTACAGAATAATTTTGCCAATCGAAGATTATTGTTTTTAATTGCAATCATTAACGGTGTCTCTTCATCGAGATAAACATTTCCGTGTTCATCTGTATACTCAGTATATCTCGGTTTGTCAACATCTGCATCAGCTTCCAACAATGTTTTGGCAATTTCATATGAACGTTCATTATCATCGTCACACTTTAATTCGGCTAAATAAGTCAATGATGTCTGATGATTGCTCAAATTCAGTGCATCTGGATGGGCACCGAGAGACAATAAAACACGGATCGTGACTGGTGACGCATACCTAACAGCTAACATTAGCGGAGAATTCCCATCGTGATCGACATCTTTGAATAATATATGACGTTCACTATCCAGTATATGACAAATTTTATTCGTGTCATCGTTCATGATGGCCCGACGTAATCGAGCTACGCTATTTATTTTAGACAAAGCAGATAACATTTTATGTGCCATTACGATCTAAAAGAACATGAACTGGTACTAGATTTAGAACAACCTGAGGAAGGCAGACCAGATAGTCACAATTCGTATGTCGCTAATGTATTAACAGTTGTGATATTTAAAATTCTGTAATGACTTATATATCGTCCTTCGTCAATTATATGCCTTTTCTTAAATAACTCTCACACTCGCTGAGCCTACTGAAACTATGACACTCTAGTTCGTAATCATTCAATGACATCAATTTAATCCTTTTTTTGTTTTACGTAGCTTTCTGACAAAATTTCGAACGCAGTACTATTTTAACACACGACGTGACTAGACTTATTCTTTCGACATGAGATCACCAAGAAACTTTTAATGAACAAATGAACATAAAGAAGAAAACCCATCTGCGTTTTTCTCATACAGTTCCATCATTTCTTCTATTTTTTTGCGTCAAATTATTATCTAGGTCATATACATCTACTGTAAAGTTTTCACGAAGCCGTTTTATGATAAGCTAAATTTTAAGCGTTAGCAGTACTGAGCAGAATTCTACCAGCTTCCTACAAAGATATTAATCTTCAGTCGTTCAGTTATATTTGATAATATTCCATCAGTATTGATCCTTTGGTGGACCTAAAGTTAAAATTTCCACGGGGTCGATTGGGACAAACAGTTACGTCATTGCTTTTTAGTATAATGACGCACGTGTTCATAGCCTGGGACAAGTGGATGAAGGCAAGACTCACCAAGAAATGGCTATATTTCGATCTTAAATGCGTTAAGGTTCATATGATCTTATTGAGCTTCACTCCGATTTAGCGATCAATTCACTACTATTTTCGCATTAACCAAAAAAAAATGGCGTTCATGCTTGATTCTCATTTTGACGTTTCTCTCTCATGTAAAAATCAATATTTATTCATCTTACGTTTTCAAGATACAAACCGTTTCTCCATGGCCATTTTGGAAAAGTGCATCGAACCTTTTTTTCTATATTTTTTAAAAAAATAACAACAGCTTCGTTGATGTGCCTATCTTACATTAAGGTTTATTATGAGTTAAATATATTATCTCGTGCGAATCACCTACAATAAACACCTACTCGAAACGAACTAATATCGCCTATAAGAAAATAAAGTGCGTCATACACAGGTACAATAACAAAGAAAGACAAAGGTTATTATTGTTTCCTTTGTTACAATAGATAAATGTATATATCGTGGTATAATCACGAAACAAGTGCGTGGTGAATCACCATCAAAGTTCAGGCTATTGTGGAAATATTCAATTTTGAGTTTGTAGTTTATCAATGTTGTCACTTCATTTATATCATTGTTAACAATGTAGACGCCGACATTCAGCGAAATACATTCATTCCATAATAAAACAGAATGAAATTAAATTTACTGAAAGCACTGACTATCTGTGACCATTTAGTCACGATAAATGAAATTCTCGGATGAATGGAAATTGATGAGACACATTTTCTGTGATTCTCGACGGAAAGGGCACAAATTCGATAATTGTCTCAACTTTTATTCTGCTAAAACTGTGTACATTGCTCACAAGTTATCTGATGTACTATTTAGTGCTTTGATGATTCAGATTAACGAGCGTATAATGTAGTATTTCGTCGTGTTTTACCGTAAACCCGGCCAACGTATCACATCAATCGCAAACGACGTTGAAATACGACGGTCGTAACGGCTGACGTAACACATTAACCGGGTTTACAGCAAAATACGACGAAATATTGTAGTACACGTCACATTATGATAGCGTAATTTGACGAATACGACCGTGTACGACAGTCGTAATCATGGATCTCGGAGGTATGTGTTATCTGTCCGTCACAGGACTTCGCTTCGCCCACAATTGGCGGGAGTTATATTGATGAGGAGCGGGAATAACACCAAAAATTCATAAAGATGGTATTGCTTTAAGACCTGTTTTGTCAGCGACAAAGGCGTATAATGACGGACTGACTAAACTTCTAGCGGATCGATGTAAGCGTCTACTTGCACTGGCAGTGAAAAAAACACTCAGAAAAAACACTGCTTCTCCCTTTACGATTGCGCAAAATATGCGACCGTACTGTAATGTAAACTAAATGTATATATTTTTTAAAATAATAAAAGGCACGCGATATATATACAGACAAAAAGAGTGACACCAGAAAAAAAGAAGAATAACACTACTGTATATATCGACTAAAAATACAAAGAAACAAATGTACCGTCGTTTATGAACAGAAAAGAAACGAGAATCATCATACATATACTTAACACTGGATATATACAAGAGAGATAGAGCGAAAAAAGAATGTCCATTGTGAACGACCGGGAGAAAACAAAAGAAGAACGTGACGTCTTGTGTTTGCGGCACATGCCGCTAACAGTCCTCCCCGCAAAAAGCTGTGTATGTCCGCGCACACTAGAGTTTAAAACCAAATGGTGAGAAGTTAATCATGTCATGGAAAAATAACTATCTCAAAAATGCCAGGCGAAAATATGCTGAGCCAACATAAGCCAAGCCAAAATATGCCAACTCAACATAAACGTACAATAAGACATCTGGAAAAAAATTATAAGTAGAATGTATTGAAATTCCAGTGAATAATAAGAAGACTACATGAAAATCCGCTACTTGGAATTTTCATTTAAATGTACTTCAACTTCGTCAAAACGATGAAGAAAATCACATGAACAAATCCCCGAGGGATATTCGTCTTAAAACTATATAATCAGATCCGTGTGACCCGAGATCAGTACGTTTGTACACTAGCACATCGTGGTCGATAAAGTGCATCAGTATCACAACTATCACGCTTCGATTCATTTAAAAAAATATTTGAAACAATCCGTCGGTCGTAAGAAAATTTCATGAAAAATAGGACGCGAAATGGTGAGGAACTAATCATGTCTTTGAAAAATGCCGCTAACAATCGACTCTATTTTTTACATAATAATAAACTTGGTGGCAAAGACTCTTTCCACTTTTTTGATGAGATTGCGAAACTAATACCTGATATTTTGTAAGGAGCGGGCAATTCGAACTTTGAGTAAAAATTTTTTTTCGCCTTTTTTACATCATTTGATAGAGCTGCTGATCACGAAAATCTACTTTTCAGCCTGAGTGAACGCTCCCTTCCGGTCGAAAAATACGATATACTCCAAATGTGTCGTT